GCAACATTGGAACAGAAGAGAGTGAATTTAAACCATTATTTGTCTTAGCATAAAGAACATTATTTGTGTGATAAAAAATCAATTGATAGGAAAGGTACAACTTCTGTCTTAGAAAGAAAAATTCAAAACCATTCTCGATACCAGGGTCACCAATTCTGGCAAAATATTTCAACCATGATTAACTTCATAATCAAACAAAAATGTTCACGCACAGTGAAACTGTGGGAAATGGTCCATATACAACATCTAAACAGAACAGTGAGTGCAAAAACTGAATTCAAACGGGAAAATGACGTTGATCCATCAGTCTGATAAAAGGCACATATAGAAAACAGTTCAATACCATGCTCTGGCAGAAAGATTTTGTGCAAGTATGATACGCCGAGCCCGGTGCATGCAATATAGATGAATGATGCAAACATGCATAGCATAAGGATGCAAAATCAAACGTGCCCTAGAACTAACCATCGTAAGCGGTTAAGTAAAAGAGAGAAGGATGTGGGGTTGAAAGACATGCATCACACACACGCACACTGATTACAACATTGCCCTCGCTCGGAGGGTCCGAATAAATAATACAGTCCGAATAAATAATTACAGTCCGAATGAATGATTAAATATTACAAAACCCTAATTAATTAACAAATTAACTAGGAAAGCAAATAAACTAGCATGCAAATTCATGGACCGCCTCAGCTCTGTTCCGAATGATGAAAGATGCATGCTCGAGTTGCCTTGCGCAGAAATCCATTGCGATGCCCCGATTCGCCTCTGTTTGCAATTAATCTCAGAATGCTGTGCTAGGCTTTAGAAAGTTACTGATTTCTGATTTGCTGCAACAGAGAGCAAGAAAGGGGCATGTCAAAGTATTTTCACATATGTATGCACACCTTGATCCTCGTGCCATCAATCACATATCTCGATGCACAATGGTCAAGGAGTCAAATTACACGACTCGATGTGAAATGAATGCACATATAAACACAAGGCCTAGACTCCATCATGGTTAATCCGGAGTGTCGGCGACCGAGAATTGAGACACGTTCCGTCACTTGGAGTACGAAACGTCCCTTGTTTCCTGTGCTCGGGCTAACTCCTATCCCAAACACAATGCAAATGAGAATGAGATGGCGTACACAATGCGGCTAACATGTAACCTAGCATACGTAATGCTATGGACTAAAATGGCATATACGATGCACGTGATGTAATATGACATACACAATGCTTTAACATGTAACCTAGCATACGCAATGCTATGGACTAAAATGGCATATACGATGCACGTGATGTAATATGACATACACAATGCTTTAACATGTAACCTAGCATACGCAATGCTATGGACTAAAATGACATACATGATGTACGATGAACTTACACCAACATGAGTGGACCTCAGCCACACTCACATCACTGGCCATATGATGGAAATGAGACAACCGAAACACATACAAACATGCACGATGCAAGGGATCGATCCTAAGGCATCAAATGCCACTCTACCAAAGCATGGAAAATGATGCAATATGGCATACAAACACACAAATTCCAGCTCTTAAACATGATACAAAATGGTCCCGAAACATGCAAACATGGCACACAATGTAAGCTAGGGGGCCCGGGTATCGAAACTAGTGAAGTGCGTTACATTAGAGGTACCCAAAGCAATGCACTAATGGAAAAACCAACCCCAAATAGACAGGTCTGAAACAGTGGAAAAATGGCCTAAAATGATGGCTCGGAATGCAATGAAATGGAGCTCATTCAATGGTCGGTAAATGAGGCATACAAGCCTGACTCTCAAACGCATTTAAAGAGTATAAAACATGACAATATGGCATTCAAACAAGCTCTGAAATATGATGTATAATGGCCCCAAAACATGGAAATACCTCAGTATATGCATGTATTGGACCCCGAAACTCAAAGCTAAGCAAGTGTATTGAACCACAAGCATGCAAAAAAAAACACCATTCGACCATGAGACCCAAAAATAGAGCTAAAGCAGTCCAAAATATGCCTAACATTAGTTTAAGGCATGGCCAAAAAGTGCTAACATGAAGGGCCAAAACAACATGCAACACATGCTAGTAAGCATGGTTTTCACTACATGTATATGAAGCACAAGAGAGGTCACCAAACCAACCAAAAGCAGAAACATGGAATGTCAAATAAACCCCAAAAACCCATATAAACTCAGTTAACACATGCTAGAATGAGGTGCTCCTTTGAGAGGCCAATAAGAGGGTTGTTCAACACATACAAGATAGACATGCAACATGGCAAAACCACCTCTGGAAATCAGTTATGAGGGTCCTAAAACTCACCAAAAAGGCCCTGAAATTGGTCAATGAAGCATGCAATGAAAGGTCCCTTTAAAAGGCATTGAAGAGGATTGTTCCACACATGCATGAGGGACACAAAATATGGCCAAAAGGGCTCTGTAGTAACTAAAATGCAATGTAAAAGCTAGGAAGTGAAAGTACCTTACAGGGGCAATTGGCAATGACATACCTCATGCTGCTGGGGATCTCTTGCTTCTTCTTGGTTGAACCACACGTACTATGAAACAAAGGCCTAGGTGCAAGGCTCAAAACAAGAGGCAAACAAGCATACAAGGGAGTAGATGACCCCCAACAGAAAAATTCCCTTAACCAAACTTCAAGAGGGGCTCAAAACAAGACTCTTTTCAGTTTATGACAAATCTTGAAAATGCTTGCAAGCAAGGCTAAGATAGGAAGCAAAATAAGCCTACAAAGAGGGATGGATCATACAAGGAGGTAGATGACCTCAAAAAGAAAAGTGTCCTTAATCAAACTTCAAGAGGAGCTCAAAATAAGACACTTTTTAGTTTAAGACGAAACCCAAAATTGCTTTCAAATAAGGCTAAAGAATGAAGCAAGATAATGCAAAAATAGGAGAAATAGAGACTTACCCTTGTAGAGAAGACCTCCAACAACTTCTGGACCAAGATGGTGAGCCTTCAACCTCTGCAAATCAGTTCTAAGATGTTTGGATGGATGGTGGAGGTGTTGTGCTAAGGGTTGGTGTGCAAATGGCCAAGAATGATGGAGTTTAGAGCTTGGGATGGAGAGATATGGAGAGTTGTATGCAAAGTGCACGGCTAATGGTAGTACATCTCCCATTACTAGAGAAGGCTCTGTCATTCTATCTCAAACTCTCACATTAGATATTGTCCTTTCAAGTAAAAAGGCCAAGCTTCTAAAAGAAGCTAAGCAAAAGGGTCAAGTTTCCTCAAGAAGCTTGACAAAAGAGTCAAGCTTCTCTTAGAAGCTAAGCAAAAGGGTCAAAACCTCCTTAAGAAGACAAACAAGAGGGGTCAAAATCTCGGAGGATGGGTCAAATGCTTCACAGCTGACACAACTGTGTTGCACTCAGGAAGGCCAAAAAGTAGAAGGCTGGCCGGCCAGCCAAGGTAATTGGCCGACCACTCCCCCTGGTCGGCCGACCAGGGGTCAAAAGGGTCAAGGTGAAATGCTGGTCGGCCATACTAGAAAGGTGGCCTCCCAGATGAGTACAACACAACTGTATGATGGAAGATCGGAAATTGTGGCCCAAGAGAGAGGAAAGTCAGCTTTCTAGCAAGGTTCAAAAGGGTCAGGAAGAAAAGCTGGTCGGCCTACCCATATTGGTGGCCTCCCAGATGAGTACAACACAATGGTGGTATGGGAGACCAGAAATTATGGCCCAAAAGTGAGGAAAACCAGCTTTTTGTCAAGAAAATTGGCTGGAGGAGAGAGAAAATGATTTCCAAGAGAATTGCTGGTCTTCCACTATAGTACCACCTTCCAAACAATGAAAATAGGGTCTATACCAAAAATGAACCCTAACCGATGCAAAACGAGGGTTCGGGGGCCAAAACACGCGGCCCGGGGCCACGAAAACAGGCTGTTAGGTACCGGAAGTGGCGTGTGACCACGAAGGTGGTCTCTGGGGCCACAGTGTCCCTCAAAAGAGAGGAAACAAGGTGTGTGCCAAAAATCGGAGCAACTAGGCTACTAATTTTCTTCCACAGAGTGTATTCTGAATATCACCACCATCAATCTATTGTGAGTCCAAATGGCTGTCACTCCAGGCGTTTCAACCCCAACGACCGAACCAGCCCCAACACCACAGATCATTGTCCACCAAGACAATTCTGCGTTTTCTACCGGCATCACACTTGATGAGACAAATTATTTCTTATGGTCTCAACTCATGGAGATGGGTATTGGTGCTCGTAACAAGGCTGGATATCTCGCTGGCGAAGCAAGAAAACCTGCACCCAGCGATCCCAATTTGGCAACATAGATTACCAAAAATCACAAACTGAAAAGTTGGCTTGTTGACTCAATGAGCCCGTCGCTGATGCAACGATTTATTCATCTTCCCACTACTCAGGCAATATAGGAGGCTGTATAGAAAACCTTCTATGATGGATCAGACAAAACTTATATTTTTGAATTGAACCAGAGATCCTTCTCCACCACGCAAAATGGTCGGCCATTGTCAACATACTACAATGAACGCGTTGTTATTTTCTAGGAAATTGATCACAGGACTATCTCTAAGGAAGGAACAGTTGAAGGGGTGGTCCAGTTGCATTCCGCAATGGCTAGGCTTCGGGTTCGTATTTTTTTGAGTGACTTGTTTCCGAATTTGATCAGGTTCATGTCGAAACATTACGAAAAGACTCGAAACTTGATTTAGAAAGCACATATACATATGTTCGGAGAGAATACCAACAGAGACAGACCATGAGCGACTCTCGTCAAATCTCTGAGAACTCAGCACTATTGACCAACCATACCCGCCTAAGACCATCGTTTGGCTCATCGAGAAATCGAAGCAATCAATCCACTGGCAAGTCTGGTGGCCTGATGTGTACTCATTGTGGTGAAACCGGTCATTCGAAACAACGATGCTATGAACTTATTGGCTATCTGAAGTGATGGGATTTCACCAAGAAACCTCGCAAGAAGCTCAGCGGGAAGGCAATGGTGACATCTACGGAGGCAGATCCATCGCCACCTACAGCAAATGCTGCCCACTCAGGGATTGATGGTAAGGCCTCTGTGTTCTTTGCAATTTCTAAGAACAATACTTGGATTATTGATACAGGTGTATCCGATCATATGACTCGGGACTCCGGTCAGTTACAATTTATTTTCCCTTCTCCTCAATCTGTAATCTCCACGGCTAATGGTAGTACATCTCCCATTACTAGAGAGGGCTCTGTCATTCTATCTCAAACTCTCACATTAGATATTGTCCTTGTTGTTCCATCCCTCGAATATAATCTTCTATCTGTTAGCCAAATTACCTCTATTCTTGCTTGCATTGTCACTTTTTGGCTCTTATTTTGTGTTTTTGAGGACATTCTAACGTGGAAGATTCTTGGTTATGGTGTTAGACGGGGCAAAATCTAATACTTGGAATTGGAAAATGAAGGACCAAAAATAAGTCAGGCCAATCACACTAGTAGCGAAGACAAACCTAAAGCCCTTATCTGGTTGTGGCATCGGAGACTCGGCAATCTTTCTTTTGATTATCTTCAAAAATTGCGACCACATCTTTTTTCAGTTCTGAATACTTTGGATTTTCGTTGTGACATTTGTGAATTGGCTAAGAGCCATCGTATCCCTTATTTACCGAGTTTAAATAAAAGTTTCAAACCATTTGCAGTCATTCATTCTGATGTTTGGGGTCCCGCAAAGATCCCTTCTTTGTCTAAAGCTCGTTACTTTGTTACGTTTATTGATGAATGCACTAGAATAACTTTTAAGGCATTTCATACCAGGGTGGGCACTCAGTATCAAAAAATGATTCGTGTTCTACAGTTTGACAACGGTACTGAGTTTATAGATGCATCATTCGGCACTTTTCTGAGCCACCTTGAAATTCGCCATCAAACTTCTAACACCTATACTCCGCAACAAAATGGTTTGGTAGAAGGGAAGAATAGACAACTGTTGGAAGTGGTTCATGTATCTCTTTTTGGCATGAACATGCCTCGGTTTTACTAGGGCAAGGCAGTGAAATTTGTGGCTTACCTCATCAATCGTACACCTTTTCTCATGATCGATTTTCAAACCCCTCAAAACAAACTGCAATCCTTACTTTCTATTCCTCACCTCTCAAACCTTGAACCTCGAGTCTTTGGTTGTACTGTCTATATTCACATTCCCAAAAGTTTGCGAACTAAACTTGATCCTTGTGCATGACGGTGTGTTTTTGTTGGCTATTTTGAGTTTCAGAAAGGATATAGATGTTATGACCCTCATACTCAAAAAGTCCATGTCACTTTGAATGCTTCTTTTCATGAATCTGAACCTTATTACTCTGCGGGGGTCTCTGGTCCTTCTTCTTCCGGGGGAGAGTTCTAGTGAAGAGGAGGTGTTACAAGGAGGTGGCAGAGGACATGTATTTATGGACTTAAAAGAAGTGCATGAACGGCTTGGGAACAGTGGGAAAAGTTCAACAGAATTGTGATCAACAAAGTGTTCAACAGAATTGTGATCACCAAAGCTGTGAGAATTTTTTCGAAACTGAATGTGAGGTGTTAGTTCTCCCAAACTCTACATCAGGTACTCCTCACATGCCAAAATCACCAATATCTCCAGAGTTGTCTGTGTCTACACCATTAACTGAAGAATCAACCCAAAATGTCATTCCTCAGGTAATCCCGAATCGCATATCACATGAATCTAATGTAACACATATATATATCCAGAATTGCCAATGTCTACATATCCACAAAGATCAAATAAGGGAGTCCTGAAGAAACAATATGAACCTGATCCTAAAGCCAAGAGTAAATACCCAATTAGCAACCATGTGTCGTCCCGCAGGTTATCTGAATCATGTGCATTTACTGTTAATCAATTATCAACTGTATCTATTCCTAGTAATGTACAAGATGCATTGACAGATCCGAAATGGACAAAGGCAATGAACGAAGAGATGAAAGCATTACAAATGAATGCCACTTGGGAATTTGTTCCATTACCCGAATGAAAGAAGACCATTGGTTGCAGATGGATGTTCACAGTGAAACTCAAAGCAGATGGCAGTATTGATAGATATAAAGCAAGGTTAGTTGCAAAGGGGTATACGCAAAGGTACGGGGTGGATTATCAAGAGATGTTTGCACCGGTAGCCAAGCTCAATACAATTTGTATTCTCATATCTATAGCAGCTAATAGGGATTGGCCTCTGCAGCACTTTGATGTTAAAAATACGTTCCTCAATGGAGATTTAGAGGAAGAGGTCTACACGGAATTGCCACCTGGAGCTAAAAGCAGTTCTTCATATAGAGGTGAAGTGTGTAAACTGAAAAAGTCATTGTACGGTCTGAAACAGTCACCTAGAGGATGGTTTGGGAGGTTCTCTTTTACAATGAAGGCATTCGGTTATAAGCAGAGTAATTCTGACCATACCTTGTTTATAAAACACAAGGAAGGGAAGGTAATGGCTTTAATTGTGTATGTCGATGATATGGTCTTGACAGGAGACGACCTATGCAAAATGAAAGCGTTATAGAAATATTTTGCTGCTAATTTTGAAATGAAGGACCTCGGGCAACTTAAATATTTCTTGGGGATTGAGGTGGCGAGATCAAACTGTGGGATTTTCCTTTCACAATGGAAGTATGTGTTAGATCTTTTAACCGAAACTGGAATGCTTGCTTGCAAACCAGTAGACACGTCCATAGAATTGAATCATAAGCTTGAAGTTTTTCACGATCAAGTTCTAACAAACAAAGGTCGATATCAACGGTTAGTAGGGAGATTAATCTATTTGTCACACACAAGGCTAGATATAACTTATGCAGTGAGCATTGTAAGTCAGTTCATGCATACATCAGGTGAAGAGCATGTGAATGCGGTATATCGAATCTTAAAGTACTTGAAGAATGCTCCAGGCAAAGAGGTGTTGTTTTCAAACAATGGTGTTTCTAATATTGAAGGATACACGGATTCTGACTGGGCGGGTGATCAAACCAACAGAAGGTCCACGTCTGGTTATTTTACTTTTGTGGAAGGTAATCTTGTCACGTGGAGAAACAAGAAACAGAAGGTCATGGCAAGATCAAGTGCCGAAGCTGAATTCCGAGGTATAGCTCATGGTGTATATGAATTGTTATGATTAGAAGTGTACTAAAAGATTTGGGCATTGAATATACAAGCCCTATAAATCTTCATTGCGATAATAAAGCTACCATAGAAATTGCACATAATCCTATACAACATGATTGCACCAAACATGTTCAAGTTGACAATCATTTCATCAAAGAGAACCTTGATCAAAAGATCATACAATTTCCATTTGTCCGGTCTGAAAGTCAGTTAGCTGATGTACTCACAAAAGCAGTTTCAAGAAAGGTGTTTCATGGTATAATCAACAAGTTGGGCATAATAGATATCTACACTCCAACTTGAGAGGGAGTGCTGGCATGAGCTATATATAAGATTTAAATTAATTGATTCTAGATATATTCAGACTCCTTTAGAATATGACTGATTTGTTCAGTTTCTTTAGAATAGATTTGTTTCCTTATTTGCAGGATATAGCTTGTATCTATATATGGTCTCCCTGCTGGAGAATGAAATATACTGAAACCATTATTTCACAGGTAGGTCTTGAAAAGCAACGCGTACCGAGGATTTTAGCCATGGAAACGTTTACTGAACTGGGCACACGTGGACAGATGAAGGGTCCACCGATAACAATAGGAATTACAGTGACAAGATCCAATCCATGTTTGTCAGCAAACTCTAGAGCAGCCTTCTCAGTTAATGTCTTCGAGATCATGTATGAAGCTCCATAATCTAACAAAATATATATCACTCCAATGTCTCTCATCCAAAACATCTAAGCCCTTGGCATTGAGAATAATGGTGGAAGCGCTAGAAGTGTATACAACCCATTTCACTGTGTTTGATTTAAGGCATGCCTTTAAAGTGCCAAGGGTTGCGTTGATAGCTCTTTGGGTCTTGACTTCTTCAGGTTCTTTGTCCTCAAAATCAATGGGGTGAACAATATGGAAGACTCCAATGCATCCTTGGATTGCTTTATCAAAACTTTTTGGCAGGATAAGATTTACATTGAAAATTTGAAGTTTTTCAGATGCACTGGGCAGGTTTGTGAGGTAGCTAAGGTCTTTCTTGCTGTCTAGTCAGAAAACCATAGATGAAAAATGTCAAAATCTCATGACTTAGCACTTGATATGCCAATTGGTCTAAAAATAGTAAAGACACATCCGTAAGCACTTGTTATGTTTAGCATTTTCATATAAATGTATGTATGTGTACATTCTTTACATCTATATAACAAAAAACCCCAACACTTCATAAAAAAAGGGCGATTAAATTACTCTGTTCTGACCATTTTTTTTTTAAAGATCCTAAGGCCCAAACTAGAATATTATTTTTGCAGTATTACTTGTACTTTGATATCCTAATCCTAACAAGCAAGAATCAGAGTCCTTACAGTGACTTGGGGTCTTGAGTTCATAAAGGTTGACCTCAAAATTCAAGATGATCTAATTGAAAACCCATGAGATGAGATTTATAGTCATATATATACAAGCAAGTGATCACAATGTGTAGCACGCGCCCGCAGAGGGGGCCCTCGCTACTACAGTTCGGACTCGATTTTGTTGTCATGGTTCTTAATCTTCAACCAAAGAGTCCAAATCTGGCAAATCGTTTTGAGAAACAGATTTTTGAAAAGAAGTGCCAAACATGGACTGCTTTGCCAGATACAGAGATGGTGCAACAAACCCTGTTCTACCAGTTACACAAACAATACCCTTACCATCTCTCTCTCTCTCTCTCTCTCTCTCTCTCTCTCTCTCTCTCTTAATTGATGTGTATTTGAATATGAACACACAAACACACAAATACTTTGTTTTGTATCTTTTATGCCTTATTTTATTCTTTGCAAAGACTAGTGTTTATGTGGACAATTATTGTCTGTGTGACCCTTTCTTTGGTGAATCTGCATCTCATCCAAAAATTTCTCTGTCACCCAAACACATCATGTAAATGGAAAATAAGAAAAATAGTAATAAATTGATGAATTGTAAGTGAATGTAAATGGGAATTGTGTCATTTTCACCGGGTCTATATCATTTGCACTTTGTTAATTTTAATTTTCTCATTTATCTGATACTTTTGAAATAACAACTCTACCCAAATCCGTATGGATAGCTTAGTAGTAGTTTAAGTGTTTTGTCTTGAAAATTGAAATGAACTGTAAATCTAGATACCCAGGGTTTGATTTTTTTTCTAATATTATGATCTGTTTTAATTATTACAAACTATCCCACATCACTCTGTGAGAGATCACAGCTCCACTACATAAGTAGACTAACTCACTTAGACTAGTATGAGCCCTTTTAAAGTCGTGAGAGGTTAGCTGTTGGTTTTCGCCTAACTCTAAAGCCGACAATATCATGCTAGTCAGGGAGGGTGAGTTGTTTCATTTGGCTCTGTCAGTGGGAACTCCCTGCTTAGGCAGCGATAGCTGTTTCAGTTGGCTCCGTCTGTCTTAGGCCATCTGTGAGCAGGGATAGCTGTTTCATTTGGCTCCGTCTGTCTCAAGCCATCTGTGGGAACTCCCTTTGCTCCATCTGTGGGAACTCCCTTTGCTCTATCTATGGGAACTCCTTGCTCAGGCAGGGTTACCTGTTTCATTTGGCTCTATCTATGGAAACTCTTTGCTCGGGCCGTCTGTAGGAACTCCTTTGGCTCCGTCTGTGGGAACTCCCTGCTTAGGCAGGGTTAGCTATTTCATTTGGCTCCGTATGTGGGAACTCTCTGCTCAGGCCGTCTGTGGGAACTCCCTTGGCTCCGTCTATGGAAACTCCCTGCTCAGGCAGGGTTAGCTATTTCATTTGGCACTATCTGTGGGAACTCTCTGCTCAGGCCATCTGTGGAAACTCCCTGCTCAGGTAGCCAGTCCACTGGGGAGAAGAATCCATTGTGAACTGCCTACTCTGCGTAGATGGATCCAATGTGACCCTAGCTATAATTCCTCCTTATATTATTTGGGATGTTTGTTAGATTTGTTATATGTTTATGCCTATATGTTAGATTTTTATTATTTTCATGATATTATTTACATCACATCTCCTACCAATTACCTAAAATATATTTTTTTTGTCAATTTCTCATAACTCTAATGTGGGGACATAATTTTTAAATGATAACACATGGCCGAGGTGACACCGAAGTGTCAGCCGAGGTGTCACATGTCATGATCATGATGCCGAGATGATCTCGGCTAGGCCGAGGTTATCTGCGAAGATGTCGGAATCTGAGATAAGCGGATAAGGGACAAGAGTCCTAGAATGAGAGAAGACTTCAGTTTGGGTAAAGATGAGACTTTTAGAGAGTTTATCCTAATCCTACTGGGAGTCCAAGATTAGCAGTAATCCTAAGTCCATTAGAGCTAGGCTCCTATTGGGACTAAGATTGTGTTGGCTATAAAAGAAAGGCACCCCCATGGGTCTAAGGTATGTCTTTTATGCTTAATCTATTCTGTCGGTGCTCTCCAGCTGGGTACCTGTTTGGCAGTGTGGTCAGAAAATCACCCACACAATTTGGCGACGTTTGTGGGAACGAAAGGAGAATAGATGGCCAACGACAGACCGAAAGAGAAGGTTGGGGACGACACTCCTACTGAGAGTGGGAAACATATTGACCTTGGTGTCGAAGAAGACAACTACAACGAAGAAACTCGTGGTAAGAATCACGGAGAAGAGGACGTCGGCCAGGAGGGCGACGTGCCGAAGAAATCAGACCGAAGCGAGTATTATAACGAGGACGACCTCCAGGTATGGAAAGAAAGATGCTTACGAAGGGACGATGAGATGAAAGGAATGGCGAACAAATTGGCGGACCTGCAAACGGTTGTCAATTTCATGATACAGAACAACGTCATGCAGCCACCATTCCCATCCCAAGATACGTTGATTGCAGCAGCTGAGAAAGATGCCCAGGCAAGGGGCA